CTATATTTTCACTACTGGAATAAAATCATAGTCCTACAAACCTCATCCTAACCATGATAATTCATCACCTAATCATTAACCTTTAATACTACATCGTTTACACAGCATCATAACATCATTTATCCATCAAGAATTCATCAATATTCATCATACATCATTCAATTCAATAACAAAAACATCAATCCTCTAATCCCACATATCAAACATCATGATCCCAATTATAAAGCCAGAACCCCACCCTTACCTTGGATCGAAGGTCACTCTACAATTTCTGGGTTGAATCTTTATTCTTATCGTTTCCTTCAAAACCAGCAGCTTCACGTTTCCACAATCCTTATTTTTCCTTCTACTGTTTCTTCTTTCTATTCTAACAACAAATAATAAAATAACCTAATATTATTATATTATTCCTTATTGTGCTCAAACTTACACCCCCTTATTACTTCCACTAACTCAATTAAGCCCACCTTAAATAATATTAGCTTCTAACATTATTTCACATAACAATATAATACCTCAAATATATTATTATTTCTCCATTTAATAAAATAAATCCAATTTAATAATACTTCTTCACAATTATTCCAAAAATAACTTAATTAAATAATTAATTAAATTACGGGCGTTACACCCCACCCCCGTAAATCGAGGGTTGTAAATCTAATAGAGGGATTATGGTGGGCTAAAACTGGTAGTTTTAAGAGCTATGAGAAAAAATGCATGGATCGGTGCAACAATGCTATTCTGTGATTTAGCATGCATGCGATCACTATGATGACCCAAACCTGTTCAAAGACATCTCAGAAGCATGTTAATAACATTAGTCTGATTTAAAACAAAACAAAATTAAAAATATGAATTTTGTAAGAATGTGAAATCGGACATGTCATGCGATGGGGTTTCATGTGTTTTGGAACATCAAAATCGACCCAACCTTACTCTGTATAATTGTTAGGAGTGAACGAGATGGCTGTATTGTAGTGGAAGAGCTTGTGATAAGAGTTTCAAGATTTTAGGGTTCTTTGAAAAAGTTTGGAATATTTTATAACTTTTGAGGCAAGGGTTTTTCATTTTCTTGTATGAGAATAGATGAGAGAATATATAGGTTGAAATTAGGGCAAATATATGAGCTTGGTCGTTGTGTAAAAGAGCTTTGTATTTTATTTTATTTATTTTGCATTATTAATGAATAAATAAAAAATAATTAAAATAATTAAAATAAAAATAGGTCAAGGGTGTATGAATGAGTTCTGAGGTATATAAGGAGTGTAGAGCACGTTTGGACTCTTAAACAATGGCCCAATTGTCTAAAATATCAAGTTTGCTCAATTTGAACTTCATGCATTTGCTCAAAATTTCCCAACTTGTACTGGTAATAACTCTCTCAATTTTCATATTTTGAAGGTGATCTTTGAATTTTTGGAAATCTCAGGAGGTCCTCTACAATTTCTATTTCGACCTTTTTTGATTTTGAAGAATTTATCTTGATGTAAGTTACCTTGATAAAAAATGTCTTTTTGTTGACTTTTGAAATGACCTGTAATATATTGACTTATATATCTCAAATGATGCACTTTTTGGACTTGAGCTTAGAGATACAAAGTTGTAAAGAATTGAATTTCCTTAAAAATGAGATTTTGTTGGGGCAAAACTGATGAAGCATGTAAAAGTTATGCTTTGTCAAAGTTCAGTTGACTTCTCCTAAGGAAAACCCTAATTTGGTAACTTTTGACTTTTGATGATTTGAGGGCTTTTCTTGAGGAATCATGGTCAACCTTTAATCAAATGATGAATGTGTATTTAAAATATTTATGTTGGAAAAAAATATTGAGGTTTGACTATATGTTGACCATGATTGACTTTTTACCCAATACAATTGATTTTCAGTCATCTGAGCAATTGACTGAGCAAACTTGTGATGCAAGGCTTGAGATTTGGTATGAGAATTCTTAGGGACATATTAAGAACCATGAAAACCACTTGAGACCTTGTAAACCTAATCTTCCTTGAGAAATATAAAACCCTAGTTGTGAGTCAATTGCTTATGAGGAGAATTTATTTGATCAATTCTTGAGCATCCTTGAGCATTTGAGAAACCTAGGAGAATGTCTTGAAGAAAATAGGAGGACAAATTTTGGGGTACAACAAATATGCTCCCCCTCATCATTGAAAATTAAGTTGTTGTTCAAACCCACGAATATAGCATGGGAGAAACCCCTGACATAGGTCGTCAATTTATCATAAGTAAGCATGTCCTGTGCGTCCAGCTTCTCGAGCTTTACTGCGTAAAATTCTCGCTTCTCCTCAAAGTGCTTCCATAACCATTTGAGGGGAAATTTCGCCCTTAGCTTTGTCACCTCCCGACCATCCTCTATCTCGATTGAACGATCATACAGAAAATCCATGGCCGCTTGGGAAATCGGATTCACGATAAAGTACCTTTCTTTGAAATGACAAATAGACTCCAGGTACGGTCGGAATAGTTTCCCAAACTGTTTGGACGATACCCATGCCTGAAGACCGTCAACAGTCTATCGTTGGAGATGGAAGTTTCGGAAAAATAGGGTCACGATGGAGCCAACATTAAGGTATTGACAAACGAGCTCAAATGCATGCATAAACGCGAGCGCATTCGGGTGGAGTTGAGAAGGCGCCAGGTTTAGCCACTGAAAAAACCCCACCTGAAAATCCGTAAAGGAAAGGCGCATCCCCGCTTCCTTAAAAGAGAATTCATACACGGGGAAGCGCTTTCCCAAGAACACCGAGAAGATCCTCATGTTCTCGTTTGGAATGAGAATCGACCAAGAGGGGGAAGCATCATCTTCTTTCTCCTCGACAATGTTGAATGCATCAGAAGGATCATGAACGACCTGATACATTAGATTTTTAGCTCAGGCACGACCCAATCGAGGTTGCTGCCCGCATTCACATTTTCCTTGAGGTGAGTGTCGGGTAAAATGGTCCCTTCGATCGATTGAGCCATCTAACCTGAAAAGCAGTGGAAAATAGTGAATTCGACATCATCAAATATACCCTTCCACCGCAGGTCAAGTGAAAGAGCGAGGAACGCCTCGAGGATGGGTCCTCGATTCAAGCCCTTGATGGCTACGCAAGGAAACGACTCCCCTCAGCTAAGCAAAATCACGAACGTTTTCCTCGATGGAGCGACTTGCTCAGATTTTTTCAAATCACGAGGAGAAATCCCCGACGTGGACCCGTATGAAGCTAATCCAAGATTTGTTGATCTTCATCCAGAATTCATGAATCTTCATACGAAATTTTTGAAGTTCATCCGAAGTTCATGGATCGTCACCCATAATTCATGAATCTTCATACGAAATTCATGAACTTCATCAGAAAATCCACAGATCTTCATCCGACATTCATGATCCGTTCATCTAAAGCCTTAAAGTAAATTAACATATTCAAAGAAAAGCACTTACTTGGAGAAAGATGACCGTTGGAAAATTCTATGGCGGCAAAGGCGGTAGAGCAGCTTGCGAACAAAGAAGAAACGAAAAGAGAGCAGAGTTGAAAATGCTTAAGTAAATTTCGTCATCTCCTTTTATAGCTAGTCCCCACCATACAGGGTAGCGTGCAAGGAATCATCATTTCTTAGACCCTTAGGCTTACCCAGGCAATGATGGTGTTCTAAATGACCACCACATGTGACACACGTAGTGATGCACCGTTGACATTAAAATCTCATGCGTGAAGTCACGCACTGACGCTATTTCAAAAGCCCTCGTTGACGAACACATGCTCGACATCGTTGCGGTGCTTTTTCCTACGGGCACCTCAAGAAGACAAGCCCGGGGAAGAATTTTGTGCTTTCCCCACGAACGCAAAGTCTCAAGCGAGCAACGTATGAAGACGGGCAGTCAACGAATCAACCGAGGAAGATCCTTCCACACGCACGCCACACCACACACGATGAGTCGACGAGGAGATTGATGACCCACCGACCATATAATCTCTGACTGAAATATGGTGACTATTTACTGGTTCGTCCCCGAGCGTATGGGGCATAAGTTAATTCCCTTGTCAGACAACCTTTCTCCGACAATTAAGTTGTTCCTAAGTCATCACTCTTTCGCCCAAGAGTAATAACTTGGGGGCTCCTATTCTAGATTGGGCTGACACTTGATCCACCGTTGGACAAGCCCAATCTAGCGTCTCTACTATGCCCCAATAGCATTCAGCCCAAGTCAATAACTATTGGGGATGTCCCCACGTGCCCACCAGGACAATGTGGCCAACAATTATCCTTAACCACCATCCTGCCCACCGAGAATAACAGGTCAAAATTTCCTATTATCTCGAGACAGTTGACCAGGAAGGAGGCCACGTGCTGGACTCCACTACTCACGTAATCCTGAGAGTCTTCGTTATTGGACCTAATTGCTTGGCCCAACGTGTGGATCTTGACCTAGTGCTGGGGCTATAAACACCCTCTCACATGAGAAGGTCAGATATTCATTCATTCATTCATTCATTCACTCTCACTTCTAGTACTTGTACTCTGATTGTCTCTATTCATACTTTGGCATCAGAGCACCTTGCAGGTACGCTCCCCCACTCACTTCAAATTGCCATTCAACTAAAATTTATAAACCATTAACAATTCCTTCTTATTAGATACGATCAGATACCAAAGTTTAGATTCGATTTACCTTTGATCCGTTCCAATCCAACTCAATTTGATTTTTCAGGTTCAGTTACCGTTTGCAATTTATTGTCCAATTCTATTCTCAATTACTTACTTTTATCCATTTGTTTCGCTAAGACTCTTTCCAATCTTCTCGATCACATATTGAAAATTATACACTTTCACCGACAAAGAAAAAAAAAGTATATGTACACATGTCACTGTCCTATCATATAATCGGTATGTCTATGATTCTATAAATAGGACTCAACGTCTCATCAAATAACACACAAACATACTAAGCTTGAGTATTACAATCTTTCTTCTTTAAAAAAAAGTATCATTGGTAGCCATGGAACTTAAGCTTTCCTCCTTTGTTATTCCCTTTTCTCTTTTATTAATGTTTCATTTACTTGCAAAATACTACAAACAAAAAACTGCTTACAAGTTACCTCCTGGTCCAATGAAGTTACCAATCATTGGTAACCTTCATCAAATAGCAGCCCTAGGATCACTTCCACATCGTGTTTTTCAACAACTTGCGCATAAATATGGTCCTATTGTTCACCTAAAACTTGGTGAAATTTCTACCGTAGTTATAACCTCACCAAAGTTAGCAAAAGAAATATTAAAAACTCATGATGTTGTTTTTGCTAATAGGCCACATCTGCAATCATCTCATATCATGTCATATGGTTCAAAAGATATTGCATTTTCTCCATATAATGATTATTGGAAACAAATGAGAAAAATATGTATATTAGAGCTATTAAGTATCAAAAGAGTTCAAACTTTTGCTTATATTAGAGAAGATGAGACCCGAAATTTTATAAGATCAATTCACTCATCAGAAGGGTCGCCAGTCAATCTCACCCATAGAATTTTCTCATTAGTGAGTTCTATGGTTTCGAGATCGGCTTTTGGCGACAAAACAGAAGATCAAGAAGAGTTTGTGAATGTGATAAGAAAAGCTATAGAGTCTGTTGGAGGACTTGAACTTGCAGACTTGTTTCCTTCAAAGAAGACTATAATAAATATGCTATCTGGCGCGAAATCAAAGTCGGAAAAAATGCACAAAAATTCTGACAAAATAATGGAAATAATTGTAAAGAAGCATCAAGAGAAGCAAAAAAGAAAAAAAGAAGGGAATGTTAAAAATGATGAAGAAGAGCATGAAGATCTTGTTGATGTTCTTTTGAGAGTCCAAGAAGATGGAAGCCTTGATGTCCCAATTACAGCAAGCAACATAAAAGCTGTGATTTTTGTAAGTAAATGTTTTCTATCTTGATCCTTTTTAATTGCCATTTATTTTTTATAAAAAAACTAATAAATAAATTTTATTATTTTTGATAAAATTACTTATTTAGTTATAATTTTTTTTAGCATAAATAGTATTTTTTATTATTATAAAATTTGTTTTTATTAAAAGTATGATGAGTTATTTTAAGAGGTCGAAATTAGATGAATTATAATTAATAATATATTACAAAAATAATGTGTACATAATTTATCAACATTTGTGTCTCAACTTATCACAATCATTAATTGATTTAAAATTTTCCTGAATTTTCCTACTCAATGGTGGTTTTCAACGTTAACAGTCGAGCCCAAAAAATAATAATAATATTCAAATCTAGGTTTTAATAGCATGACTTAAACTACCAGAAAATTTTCTTTCCTTTTTTTTTTTCAAATAAAAAGTGACGTTTGATTAGGAGTTTTGGAGTGGAGGGGAGAAAAATATTTTAAATAAAATTATTTAATTTAATTTTTAAAGGAAAGAGTATTAGATTTAATTTTTTCGTTGCATTTTTAAATTTCTATATTTTTCTTTAAAAAACTATTCATTTTTAATATGTTGGTCATATTGATCTTTTCTCACTTTCTAAAAAATAATAATTATAAATAAATAAATAAACAAGTAAAAGTAATTTTACTAAATTATTTATATTTTTATTGTATAAAAAATACGAAGTGAGAAGAACATGCGAAAGTGATGTTTGCATAATTTTGTAATGGCAAAACATATACAATATAATAAAATGAAGATTACAAGGGTTGAGAAAAGTATGAGAAGTGTTCGACACCTTTTATAATTTATTTATATATGAAAATTTTATTATTTTTTCATTTGCACATTTAGGATGTATTTGCAGCTGGAACTGACACAACAACATCAACAATAATATGGGCAATGTCAGAATTAATGAAAAATCCAAGTGTGATGAAGAAAGCCCAATCTGAATTAAGAGAAGCATGTAAAGGAAAAGAAATAATATCTGAAATTGATATACAAGAACTTCCATACCTAAAACTAGTTATAAAAGAAACATTGAGGCTTCACTCACCAAATCCTCTATTAATCCCTAGAGAATCCACTGAATTAACCAACATTGATGGTTATGATATACCAAAAAAGACTAAAGTGATGATAAATGTTTGGGCTATGGCAAGAGATCCTAAATATTGGACTGATGCTGAGAGGTTTATTCCAGAGAGATTTGAGGGTAATTTTATGGATTACAAGGGAAATAATTTTGAGTATCTTCCTTTTGGGGCAGGTAGAAGAATATGCCCTGGCTTATCATTTGGTGTAGCTGGTATAATGCTTCCATTGGCACTACTACTTTATCATTTTAATTGGGAGTTACCAAATAATATGAAACATGAGGATTTGGATATGACTGAACTTTATGGATTGGCTGTTGGAAGGAAAAGTGAGTTGTGTTTGATTCCAACTGTTTACTATGATATTTGATTTGTAATGTTTATCTATATTTCAAGGTGTACTTTAGAGAGTTGCTTGTCATTTCATTTTGAAAATAAAAGTCAGATACTGACTTATTGTATAATAGAAGTAGAAATAATAGTACTCCATTAAAGTTTACTTAAACTCTATAATCTAATAAACTTGTTTTCAAGAGGCTTGCTTTGTTGGAATTTTAAGCATGGTATTTTTTTGGTATGCACATTTTTACATAAATTAAAGAAATAGTAAAGTTCGTTTATAAGTTGTATTACTATAAGTTGTTTTATATACATGAAAAAAAAAGAAAAAAAATTAAAGTAAGTAAGGTGTTTATAGTCAGGTGTAAATCTTACGGCTAATATAAAAGAACACGAGGCATATGAGTAGGTTCAAATTTTTTATCCACTATCAACCTAGACACAAGATAGGGTTTTGAAACAAATCAGAGACGGTGTTTAAGTTCATTGAAAACCAATTTATAATTCAATTCCAAGCTAAAAAAAATATTCTCTTCTATTTCTTTCACATTTGTTGACGAAGCAAAAAAACAACTTATTATTATGAACTAACCAAATAGTCCACACCACAGCATGTCAAATCATAGTAAAATTTCTCCTACTCTTACCCTTAGAACCTAGAGATATAAAAAACTCAACAATAAATCTAAGCTCCTTAGGAAGCACCACTTGAAAACCCAATCACTTAAAGATCATATACACACAATAGAAGCTAAGCTATATAAAATAAACAAATGAAAAGTATACTTAAGACAATCCCCATATAACACACATGAAAGATCATCCGGGTCAATAATAACGTTACGCTTGAACAAATTCTCCCTATAGTGAAACATATCCAACAAGAGTTACCAAGAGAAGATCAATGTAAGTACAAAGTGCAACCTAAGAGGGGGTAAATTAGGTTTTAAGAAATGTTCTCGCTATTTTGCAAATGTTATGTTTCCTTTTTTTCCGGAAGAACAATGATGAACTTATAATGATATTGTAGAAAAATAAAAGTGCAAAAAAGTAAAAGTGTAGTAATGTAAAAGAGACACATACAATTATACTAGTTCCACATATCAACCAATGGTACGTCTATTTCCTTCAGATCCTGTGAAAGATTTCACTATTTTAGATCTTTGTACAACCTTACACCAAGACTCTCCTGTAATCTTCTAACACAATACACCATACCTATGGTGGACTTTGAATCTCCCCGATTCAAAGGACCTTTTTACAATAAACAAAAATAACACCACTTCCTATTTCAAACATTTATAGAAAGTACACACACTTTCTTTACAGAAAATATCACCACACACTTGGCGAATAGTTTACAATAGACATCACTACTACAAAACGCACAAATAACAATTCTCAAGTCACTGCGGTTCTTCCTAAAATTGTGGTGACATCTATAAACCCAGACACTAACTTTGTTTTTTATTTTATTTTTTATTAACAATTGTTAGGTTATAATAACGGTTTTTGCAGTAACCGTGTTTATAATATCAAGCTTTCTTGGGTTCGAACCTCAACTCCGTCAAATAATGTATTTCTTTAACATTATGGCGCGCCTTTTCTTTTTTATTTTTTTAAATAAAAAATAAAAGGGGAGGGGATGTCACCGTGGTGCTTAATTCAACCGTTGTTATATTTTTTAAACAATTACTACAATTTAGTTGTCTAACCGTGATCAAAGGTTTTACTGATAAATTAAAACAACTTAATCCTTATTTCTTTCATAAGATGCCCTAGGCAAATAAGCGAACTAGAGACGACAGCGATACTCTTCAACATATTCATTCTTGTTCATTTGCAATCGGAAATCTTTAACATCTTCATTCTTGTTCATCTTCAATCAGAAATCTTCAACATCTTCATTCTTATTCTCGTCCTCATCTTTGAAGTACGATACTTTTCATCCTTTTTTTGTTCAATGTTGTTAGTTGTACTGTTGGATATAGAAGTGAACCAAAATATTATACCTTTCTTAGCTATTCATATGTATTGTTCTTAGTAGATATATATGTTTTTTGTTAGCTGTTATGTTTGATATACAAGTGAACAAAAATATTATATTCATATGCTTAAGGTTTAGAGTTATAGTTTTTGGTTTAGATTTTGGTGTGTCATTCACATTATTATTCGTGTATAAATTTCAAAAGTTGTTATGGACCAAAGTTAGATGAAAGTCAATAGATTAGGTTCGGTCTATGAGAATGGAGTTCATGAATTCCTTGAATACGCTGATAAATATCTTCGTGACAATGATGGTATCTTTTATTGTCCTTGTGTTAAATGCAGGAATTTCCGTAAAGGTATAGAGGATGAAATACTCCATCGCCTATGTTATGTTGGTATGTGTTAATCATATACAATATGGACATGGCATGGTGAAGTGAGTCATGAGGGAAGTCAGACGACACAAAGTCAAAGAGTGTATGAAGATGAATATATGGATGATCGACTATAGGATATGTTCTGTGATGTTGGATAATCTTCTTTTAAGAATGCTCATATTCATGATGTTTTATGTAGTGATAAAGACACACCTTTATATACGGGACGCACGAGTTTTACACGATTGTCTGCGGTGTTAAATTTGTTTAATCTGAAGGCAAAAAATGGATGGTTGGATAAAAGTTTCACGGAATTACTTGATTTGCTAAAGCAAATGTTACCAGAAGATACCAATTTACTGGATCATTGTTATGAGGCCAGTAAGATATTGTGTCAGATGGATTTAGAGTATATCAAAATACATGTGATCTTACCGGTTGATCAAAACCTGAAGTGGACCGAGAAGATGACATTTTCTTGACTGGAATTTGAGGAGAGGAGGTGGTGTACCTGTAAGGCACTCAGACACTCAAGTAAGAAAAAGTGCAAAGAGATACAAGAAAGAGATTAGGGGTTTTTATAGTAAATATTGGATACATGGCCCTCACAAGTGTCAGGGTTTATATAGTTCTCCCGATGCTTGGCCATTGGTTCCTATTTTTGGGCCTAGATATATATTAGGTTCCTCAAAAATAGGTAATTGCCAAGACTTAATCAAAACGGGCAGTCATGCTCGTAACTAGTTGTTTCTCCGAGCAAGGAAGAGATTACAGACATATGTGTTACAGAAGTTTCCTGGTTGTCTACTCCACGTGTGTCGAGCAGACCTGTAGGTAGCTTTTGATGCGGGAAGGCGCATGGCTCAGGGCATTGTTGGTCTCTCTGTTCATGAGGTGTAGTTGACCAAGTCTTCCCGACTGAAGGACCAAAGTTAGTGGGCCAAAGCTGTTGGGCCATGTTGAAGATTGAAGTGGATTGGGCCAATTCTAACTATTGGACCAGTCCAGAACAGGAGCCCCTCAAGTCATTTCTTCTGGGAAGAGGAGTGATGACTTATGACATGCCCGTGAGTAGAGGATGTTTCGTGATTTTTTTGGAGGAAAAATTCGTACGAGGAGCTCAAGTGTTACTTTGTGTGTTCGAATCGCAGGGAGAGGAACAATTAATTAGATCAGAAGAGTTTGCATGCCACGCCTTCCTCGAGTCGTAGGTTATCATAAAAGCATGATGATGGCTAGTCTAGGAACAAGGGTACAATGATGACGACCCCTAGACTTCCCTAGGCGCGTGCCCACTCACGTGCCTACAAAGCATCCTATAAATATGAGAGGGGGAACTTCATTTTCATTTTTCCTTTGTTTCTCCCTTCAGATTCTTCTGCTCGTAAGTCTCTTCATCTTTTCCTATTTTATGTTGGATTTACCATTGTTTTTCTTAGAGATACATGGAGTTAGGATGTAGTTGGATATTTTTCTGGTGAGTGTTGGTGTTCAACAATGGTTCTTCCACTTTTGGACACCGAAGTTGTAGGAATTTTAGGGCTTTCAGCCGTTTGACTACTGCGATCGCGATGATGGATGGTTTCGTCGCTGTTGGAGTTCATAATTTTTCTGATGAATTTATGAGTTTCCCGGCGGGTGTGTGATATCCTGATGAGAACGTGAAGTTTCCGATGAATCTTCAAATGGAGTTCAAAACCCAATTATCAAGGAGATCGCTTCATTGTGCAGGTTAGGGTTTGGTCTGGAGAATTAGTTCCTAACGTGTTTGGGAGATCGTCCTGGTGTCCGTGTTTTGCTGTTTGAGTAAGGGTTCTGGTCGAGGACGTGGTCCTTGTGCATTTGCGCGCCCTTTCACTTGATTAGCGGTGGAAAGGTGGATATGATTTTGATGTCGAATTCACTTTTGTCCTCTACTTTTCAGATAAAATGGCTAGCATTACCGATGATGAGATTATGGATGATTGAACTTCTACCGACTAGAATACGTCCGAAGAGAGCACGTCCGGACAAAGTGATTCCGAACATTCCTCTTAGGGGAAAAGGATCATCCGAGCATGGTGCGCCTGAGGCTTCTGAGAAAAATGAACCAGGGGGAATAAAATGGATCGCACCGGGTCCCAGGGAGATTGCTTCATATTTTACTAAGCATCAGGAGGAGGCGTTCACGGTCGTGGTCGCAAGGATGGAGTAACCAAATGCTAAAGAAGAATGGGCGTATTCATCCTCGGGGAGTACGATAGAATTTATACAAAGTATGATGTCAACCAATTTCCTATGTACGAAATCGTCTTTCGGGATCTTGGGCACTGCCTGCCTTTCACCGACCTTTAGGTGGCCGTCTTCGACCACCTTCATCTTGCTCCTTCGCAGCTTCATCCTAATTCAACAACCTTCCTATGGGCTTTTGAAATTGTGTGCGATCATCTGAAGATCGGGGCCACCGTCTCCTTGTTTTTCAACTTCTTTCATATCCAGCAGGAAGGTTGAGGAGGGCAGTTGGGATGGGTTTCCTTGAAACAGTTGAGTAATATGTTTAAGGTCTATCTCGAATTTTTCCTAAAATTTAAGGACATGTATATCTTTGTACAACCTGTGTCGAAGAAGGCGATCCTGAATGTGTTTAGCAGTGTCCGCAAGCGTGGTCTGGACATGTAGCCTGTGT